CTCTGAGCCTCATTTCCCCCTACTGTAATATAAGATAACAATATCACCTATCAGTGTGGTTATGAGGATTAAATGAAATTAACATAAGCCAGAGCACTTAACCTTTGCTGTGCAGGTGATCAATAAATATCATCAAACCCAAAGTTCTTACCCACCTTTCCAGGGAATGAACAGTGAGGATTTGGGCCCATAAAACTTCCTACATTAACGAGAAAAGACATCTGCTTTGGGGTATTGTTCAGTATTTTATTCCTGCAATGATCAATTGTTTCTCGCCTTTCATATGCTGTCTAAAAAACTAACAGTGGCCCTGACTCATAACCAAGTTAAGAAAACACAAGTGATAAGGACACTCATGAATCTCTTGACACTTTGCTAAGTCATGTGAATAATTGGGCTGACTCCCAATCTTCATTCTTTGCCAACCTAGAGGAACTCTGTAGCGTCCAAGAGTTCCAATGACAGCCAGTAGCCGAACAAACCCCAAAGTAGAAGGAGCTCCTGAGTTCATGGTGGACCTCAGAAAATGTCTCTCAGAAAACAGGGAACCACTGTTGCTGTGAAGTCTACTGTGAAAAGGGCCATTCAGTCCCATGGGGGTGATGGCCTTACTGTTATCACACCAGAGCCAGTGTGGGTTTCTGTAGACGTTACTTCGACTCAGGAAGGGGAGCAGGTAGGATAGGAAAAGGGTCAGATAATCAGAAACACTTGGGAGTATCAGGAGTTTAAAAATCATAAGTCAAATGAGATTTTGAGATTTCTAATTTTTAAAAATTTTTGTTTCTTCTGGAAACCTGACATTTACACCTCCATGAATCCCCATATTCCAAGTTGTGAAGATATTGGCTAGATCATCGGCTGTGAGACTTACTGAGACCTGCAACCAGAGTCCTTCCACCCTCCTGGATGCCCAACAGGCATCTTAATCCCTCCGTCTCTGCAGATGACATCTCCTGTTGTGCTCTTACTGGAGCCAAATTCTTCGGTGCTTCTCTTGGCTCCTGGTTCGTTTCTGTTTTTTCTTTCTTTGTTCCTTATACTCCTGTCCAAACTGCTGGAAAATTCTATCAACTAAAAATTCGAATACATCCAAGTCTGTATGATCTTTTTTTTGTTTGCCTCATCAAACCCAGGGCCAGCATTTGCTAAGTGCATGCTCAACCACTGAGCTAAACCCTCGCTGCTCTAGAACCTTCGCAAACCACTTTCCTGGCCATCCCCTTGACTTTAGCCTGCACCTCTCACCTGAGTATTACAGTATCCTGGTCACCTTCCTTGCTGCATTGCTGACCCTTCAGTCTCTTCTCCACACAGCAGGCAGAGGGGCCTCTCAGGTGTGCAGTCAGACCACGGCAGGAACTTCCAATTGCTTCCCACCTCCCTAAGAAGGATCCTTACCAGAGCTTTCAAGACATAGCTGCCCGGACCCCATTCTGCCACAACACGTGACTCAGTCAGGGTCACTCCAGGAGAATTGGACTGGAGCTAAATAATCACACAGACACAGAAAGTACCTTTTTTGGGGGGTTCAGTGATGACTGCTCTGCCCCAGCTCCCACAAAGGAGGCAAGAGAGAGAGAGAGAGAGAGAGAGAGAGAGAGAGAGAGAGAGAGAGCGCGAGCATGCAAGCCTTGGACCATCCTATTTGTTGAGGGAAAGACATTCGAGAAAGTTCAACCCAAATAAGGCAAGGGATTGGGTTTCAGGGGGTTGCTTGGTGATGTCTCCCAGTCAGCAGATTGACTGACATCTTGGAAAGCCACGCCCATCTCAGGTGCTGTGTGAGATCAAAGGCAGAGTGAGCAGAGAGGACACATTCCCAGCCCAGCCCAGTCAGCAGTCCTGTCCCCTCACGTGCTCAAATGCTCCTAGCTCAGCCCATGGCTGGCTCACGACTCCCTTCCCTGCCTGCTGTTCTTCACTCCTTCCCTGTTCACCCCACTTCTGCCACACTGTGCTCTTCACTCAGCTCTTCCTCCCACTCCTTAGCAGGCACACACCTGCCTCTGGGCCTCTGTAGTGCCCTTCCCTCTACACAAACACACACCTGGGTGGCTGTCCTTCACACCTTTTATTTGACAATGCGTTTTTTTCTCATTTATTCAAATTCGCTATAGGAAGTAAACACTAAAAGATTTTTTAAAAATTCACAATGCAGTAGGTGCAGTTTCATCACATCCCACAAAGAAATTAAATCTCTAATAAAAATGACCAATTCTGTTACTGAGCAGATTGCATCAAAGCTGGTTGTGTAAACCCCAGGTTCTTACCATGGATGGTAACATTAGCGCCTGTATTCCAGTACTGAAGAGACCTGGCATACGCCTGGCATAATATTATGTTTCCAATGGGGTTTAAAAATTCGTGAAAGTAGTTGTGTGAATTCTTTATGTTGAAAAGTGGTTGACTTGACTTAAAAAGAAATTTTAAGACCCTTGGTTTCAAAGCCTATTTTTCCACAAAGCTTAAGCCACGAAGTCATGTCCAGAAATGGAATCGTGTCATGTTGGGATGAACATCTGATCTGATTTCTTATGACATTTTTTCAAATGTACAGATGCACAGGGCCCCCCATGCTCTTTTTATGCTGCAGTTCTCCTTCATATCTTACTCACTTGCTACCTTTTCAGGGGCACTTCCCTTCCCTGGCTGGCCACCCCTTCAAAAATTGCCCACTGTTTCAAATTAGCCAGAATTCTCCAGAGAAGCAGGACTAAAGGGCTAAGATAGATTGATTATTGAAACTGACTCACATGATTGTGGAGGCTAGAGTCCCTGTGATCTGCTGTCAACAGCTATTCATTCAGCCTTCCCAAAGTGGGTTCTTAGATGCTGAAAGACCATTGCTAAGGTGGTAAGTTGACTTCTGATTAGTTAGTTGAAAGGTCGTCTCTCACTATGGATGTGTTCTTACTTCATCAATTCTTAGACATTTATTGGATTCCAGATATATGTTAAACATGGAGTTAGAAAGATGAATAAATTAGCTCCCCCGCCATTATGGTCATTATGGTCCAGTCGTCTACTTCTACTGGACCATAATAATCATTGCTGTAGACTATTGATTTCCAGTGATGCATTAGAAAATTATCCCCATTAAAGAAACACAGGAGAGATGATGATCTGCATGGGGCATTTATATGCACATGTGCACACACACACACACACACGCACACACACACACACACACACACACACACATGCACACATACATTCACTGTCCTCAGATAATATTTTTGATGATTTAAATAATCTTTTCATGAAAAGTCCTCAAATCCAGCTTCTGGTCTGGAAGCATGTCTGTTTAGGTACCCTATAATGTTTTATATTACAGTGTTATTGTCCAGGTCATTAAAATTTTAAAATTCCTTCCATAGTTTTGAAATACATTAAAATCTTTATTTAACTAAATATATAAGCCCAGAACTGTAATCTTATAACCTTCTAAGTTTTCTTTTGTGAAACTATTCCTCTTGTTCTC